CCTTCCAGTGTTTTCTACAGTGGCCAACAGAGTGGCAAAGATGATTCTAGACGCTTCGAGATATTTCTGGGTCGAGTGGCGACAGCCACGTGACACTCGGTAGATTCGAGCAGAGGCTTGACACCCTCGATAGCTAATCAGATCAGTCCACCGCCTCGGCTCTGATTTCAGATGACGTACTTGTACTGTTGCCAGCATGCACGATGGTATACTTGTCCTTGACGCTCTGTATGACAGAGCCGATGACTCTCTGAGCCCGGTCGGGGTGGGTGTTGACGGAGACGAGGTTGATGGGTGAGGAGGGGGCTGTGGACGACATGGTTCGGATTGTCGTGCGGGCGGAGGAGAGGAGGGGGAGGGTGCGGCGGAGGCAATGGAGCATGGATAAAGTATATGTGATGGATGTCTGTTATAGACTGACTGTCAAGAGAGATGGGATCTGTTTGGCTCGCCGTACCGGAGAACGCCGACTCGGGCCGAGCTCGTGCTTAACGACCGTCGGCCTTCGCTCTTTCATTTCCATCTTTCACTTGCCCCCTGCCCTCGCCATGTCGACCTTCTCCAGGCTCATCAGGTTCTTCCCCAAGTCATCGCCTTTCAAACCGCTCATCGGCCAGCCTGTCGACCCCACCCTCGATGTCGGTCTTGCTACCTACAACCGGACACCTGTCGAAGTGGACGTGTTTAGCGGGGCATCTGTGCTGTCCCCTGGCACAAGCACGGGGAGGAGGGAGGTTGTGGACCGTATATTGAGTCCTCTTGCGCAGCATGAGGTGGGGACGATCAGGTGTATAGGTCTCAATGTCAGTACACCACCTCTTATCCGAGATCTTTGCTGACGGCTTATCTAGTATACGAATCACGCCATAGAATGCGGTTTCGCCATTCCAGAAACACCCACCCTATTTATGAAACCCTCCACTGCCCTCGCAGACCCTTTCCCGGCGACGACGATCCTCCCCAAAGCGTTCTTAAAGGACGACACGGCGGATTATGAGGCTGAGCTGGTGATTGTCATCGGACGGGCGTGTAAGAACGTGGGGGAGGAGGATGCTTTGGACTATGTGCTTGGGTGAGCCTGCTGTCCCTTGACTCATGATGTGGCTAAGTGTGATATAGGTACACTGCAGCGAACGACGTCTCTTCTCGAGCAGCCCAATTTGCCCAGTCTCAGTGGTGCTACAGCAAGTCTTTCGACACCGCCTGCCCTATAGGTCCGGCCATCATCAGCAAAGGTTCAATCAATAGTGTGGGAGATCTGAGTATTGAGGGGAGTCTCAATGGGAAGGTTGTGCAAAAAAGTGGTCTTGAGTGAGTTCATCCTCGTGTATCAAGACGAGCGAGAGCTGACATTTTGAAGCGATTTGATATTCTCGGTGCCCAAAATCGTCTCTTTCCTCTCCCAAGGTACCACGCTGCCCGTCGGCACCATCATCCTCACCGGGTAAGTCTGTCCTCTATCATAGCACAGTCTATAATGTGTGTACATAGGACGCCCGCGGGGATCGGACATGCCTCGCAGCCGCGGGTGACTTTGAAAGAAGGCGACGAGTTTAGGGTGCATGTATCACATGGGGTGGGGACTTTGATCAACAAGATAGAGGAAGAGAAGTAGATGTTATAGAATGCAATTGTCGGCTCTCAAGAATTCTGCATCTACATACGCGTTCTCTATTGTCAACAATCATGACGTCACGCGCCGATTTTTGCTGTCAAAGCAATGTCAAAGAGCTCTCTATCTTCAATTCCTTTCGCGAACCTCGTCAAGTCTCCCCTATCTCCTCCAGCTACCCCTTCCCTCAATATCGTAATGGTGTTCGACATCATTACCGCCACCGCCCTCTGCCCCGCCATCGTCGCTACAAAACTCGCCATCGAAGGCGGTACAAAAGGCAATCGCAATGGGGGCAACAAGTCTTTGCCTCTAGAGCTCTATGTCAAGTTTCCTGGAGGGCATCCTTATAGGAGAAAATTTGAGGGAGCTAGGGTAGTTCTGTCGAATGGCAAGGTAAGTCATCTCCTGAAGAGCCTTGGAGTAGACTTCGGACGCACGCTGACAGTCAAATAGCTATACGTAGAGCACGCCGACTCCCACTTCGACCACAACACCTATCAACCCGTCGTATGCCGCTATCAACCATGTCCCGAATACGCCCTCCCCTGGGCTCGCGTCGGCTACAAAGGCGACTGCTTCACCACCACCACCTCCCCCACCTCCGACACCCCCTCCCGCATCTACGTCAACAGAAATACCAACGAACTCCGGTACGGTTCCGTCGAAGAGTCTGAGTCGCACTCCCCGGGTCCTTGGGACTGTACAGAGCTGGATAATAGAGTGTTGTTTGAAGGGTGGGAAGGGTTTGTGGTGGTGCAAGAGGATGAGGAGAAGGATCTGTGGGCGTTGTATTTTGATAGAAGCGATGATGGGTTGACGGGGGAGGGGATGGTGGGGGATGTGGAGACGACGGGGGTGCAGATGAGGATGATGTATGTGCATTTGGGGAGGAGGGAAAGTCCGAGGACGCTGGCGAAGCATAGGGAGGAGAAGGAGCAGCAGAGGAAGAAGAAGGAGGAGGCGCCGGATAATGCGAGCGGGCTGTAGGGGGGAATGAATGTCTATAGAAACGACTGCCATGACCTGCATGTAGTATTTGCGTACGAATATGTCGAGATATCGATTCAGTGGGTGGAAGTGGGTGGAGATGTAGCGCACGCGACGGCGACGGGCCACTCGAGTTGAAATGTTTTTTTCTTCGTCATAAGCATCTTCTACTTCAACGCTGGCATAAACTGGACGGTTTTTGCCTATCCTGTGCAGTGTTGCATGCTGAGAAACACATAGGACAATGTGAGGGCTCTGACTGATAAGGCTACCGCACGAGGAGCGAACAAGGTCGTGTATCAGCGCTTGTACGTTGTTCATTTCTTCCACTACATCCCTGTCGCCTGCAGGATATAAACAACGCCAAATAGCACTACCACCTCTGCCGCAACAAGCCTCCAGGGAAAATTTACCCAGCTGATCAGAGTCGACTAACAAGAGCGGGCAGAGTATACTCAGCAGATGTACCAAACGCTTTTGAGGAGGTCAGCTTACGGTGGGTATAGCCGGTTCAAAAGGTAATCCTTCGAACGTTTGGACCAGCCATGGAGTCTCGGGCTCTTCCAATACAGATTCATATGCGTGTTTGTGTTTCTTCTGTGACCAAGTCTTGTCCATCTTGTCTGAATGTTTCTTTCGCTCGTACCGGTCTTTGCTTTTGTGTCGTTTCTCGTGTTTGTGTCTGCGTTTTTCTGGTGGTTCTGGAACTTCATGACTGTCTTCGCTGACCTGTGCTGCTCCTCCACCATCACTGCTTGCATCCCGTTTATCTTCCTCGTCGAGTGACATTTCATCTCCGGGCGATGCGCCTTCGTCCCTCTTTCTTTGTATTTTCGAGGCAGCATCTTCTCCCGTTCCTCTTCCCGCTATATCGTCTTTAGATTTGACTGTCGGTTTGCGTGCTTCAGCCTCATCATCAGACTGAACACTAGCTCTGCCGACATCGTCATCCTCGTCAGAGACATCATCCCCCAAAGCGTCTACAATCCGATCGTGCTCAAACGCCTCACTCAACTCGCCCTCACGATCACTACCGTCTCCCTCTTCTGCCCTCTCTTCCTGAACCGGTGTCAAGGTTGACTCTCTGGAACGCTCCGACACGTCCACCCTCAAGTTTTGTGATGTGGATGGTGGCTGGGTAAGTACATTGTCGTTCAACGTTCGGTGAGGCTGTTCGGGCTCGGGGTCTGCGTAGGCATCGATGATGTCGAAACTTGCACCATCACCATCATCGTCCCCTGGCATATTCTCGACTTGTCTTTGCCTATCTGTATCTACATGCCGACGGGCAGCAGTAAAGGTGGATTCGTTCGAGAGATGATGCGGCTTTGGAGAAGGAAAGGGGACAGAGCCGTAAGATACAGGCGTCGGCGGCGCCACATCCCGCATAGGATCAAAGATCGCGCTCCCCCCGTCCCCCCTCGCCATCTGTCGTATAGCAGTCTTTTCCACTGCCAACCCCCCGCTCGTTTCAGACGACAAATGAGGAGGAAAATCTGGTAATGAAGGTACCTCTTCTTTGGTGGATGATTTACCGAAGGGACGGAATAATGTACCGCCTCGTCGGTTACGTTTATGCAAAGTGGGTGAGGGAGGGGTGTATGATGAGCCGCCGGGGAAGGTGGGGATGAGATGTAGGGGTTTGGCTTCTACTTTGACGTCGGCCGTGGGGAGAGGTTCGTCCCGAGCTCTTGGACGAGAGGGGGGTCGAGGTAATGACGCCAGCGGCGCATGTCCAGCTCGAGGTGTGCGCGGCTCATCGACAGCCCTCCGCCGATTATCATCTCCAGGTCTACTTGTACGCTCAAAAACGATCCAAACCTCCTTCGACAACCCCTTCCTGACGCTCCGGACAACAGGTTCGCGGGGAGCGTCGAATAATGTTTCCGAAAGTGGTCTGATGAGATCAGCGATATGCGACGGGGAGGGTGCGAGAGAGGTGGGGGATGTGTGGAGGGTGGAGGCGAGGTGGGAGATTGATATTGCCTGTTCTCATTCGCTTAGTGAGAACAGAGAGGAGATGGAGGTGGGGAGGGGCAGGGGAGCTTACTGGTGCGGCGAAAGAAGGGTGAGGGGAAGGGTTAATTTGGTCGATGATTTCTAGGATGGCGGCTATGATCTGGCCGTCGGCTGGAAGTTTTGAGGGCATACCGCGGGTTAGATGATATCCTATTCGGAGTCGATAAGAGTTTCAAGACTGTAGACGGATGTGCGGATCAACCACGAGGGACTGTAGGCGTGATCCTTTGTCAAAACCTTCAGAAAGGAAGATCCTCGATAAGGTGAGAAGAGCTCACTGATGACGAGCGTTGTCGATATACCTTACGCAAACACCATCGCTCACTCTTTCTTCCATCCTCATTAGACCATGCAGCGTGTAAGCAAATGTTAGTCAAGACTTGATCATGGGCAAAGACGATTGTAGCTGCGTCACCGCGAGGGTAGTTTGGTTGGTGACGCCAGGTAGTGCTCGAGCCAAGTCAGCGGATGGACTCATGATGCGCGATATTGGCAAATGGCCATTGTCGTCTTTATCAACTGCAACATCAACATCGCATGGTGACTGGGCCAGGAAAGATACATTTAGCTCGGATCGGCGAGAAAGCAGCGGACAGGAAGCATGAACGCGACGCGAAGGGTGATTTCACTTTCTACTCGGTGCTCTCGTGACCTTTCATCCGTACATTGGCCGCAAATATGCGATGGTATACAACATCTGGATGCTACACAACCCCACTGCAGCCCCTACGACAAAGTCTCGAAACGGCAGTTGGCGAACGACGAACGACGGACTGCGCGCTATATACTGCGCTCAAACTCGTCGAGCAAACGACATTGTCAGCCCCTTCGAGCTGAGGCTTGTCAGCCCTCACCAAGCCACCCGGTGTAACATAATCGATCAAAGCCCCCACCTACGACGATCCTCTATCACCCGCGCTATCACCCGCAATCTTCTCACCCCCGAACGTCAACCCAGCATATGAAATCCTAAAGTAAGCCAACAAAGAAAGGACCATGCATGATACGCTCTATATCAAACACATAGCCATTCCTCCGTTCCAAAAGAAAAACCAATCATCTCCAACGGAGAAGTTATGAGGAGACGACGTTGGCCTTGCCCTGTATTGCGTTTTGCGTTTGCGTTCGCGATGGGATTGATAGGAGAGGTGGGTGGGCGATGGGGTGGGATGGGGCGGAGGAGAGAGGGGTAGGGAGGAAAAAAAGGGGAGAGGGAGTGAGGGGAAGAGGAAGAAGAGGTCATGATCAGCGTTGTTAAGCGATGAAGCGAGGAGAGAAGGGAACGTACTCGGGCGTACTGGACGAGCTGGAAAGTGGAACCGACAAGAGAAACACCGAGGAGGGCGAGGTAGGCACCTGAGTATGGTCAGCGTCTGGGGTGGGTAGTCAGGGTGGGTGGTGGGCGTACGGTAGTAGTACTTGCCGTTACCCCTGAGGTAGACGGGGACGTGCTGGGCCTATTGTGGACAAGTGAGCGCGAATTGAAAAGAGAGGCCATTGGGCACGCGTCCTTCTTCCCATTTCTCGTCTTTCTCTTCCACAGTACAGCGTCTTCAGTGCCCAAACCCTCCTACACCACTGTTTACCCAAGAAATACACCTCTCAAGCTTGACGAATACCTCGATGCGAAATGCGCGAAATTGTGTCTGACATACCTGGAAGGCGACCTGCTTAGCCTGGACCTTGTTGGGACCTGTTCTCTGTGAGCGACTCCCCCCTGGGCCAGCAGCTTTGTGCTCACGGTTTACGAGTGCGCCGAACATTGTGCGTTGTGGATGCCTGGATGTGAGTATTTTGTCGTCCATTCGTTGGCTGCACCGAACCGTTCTCCCCCGAGCCCATTATTCCTCCCCTCATTTTCTCCATTTTCTCCGGGAATAAAATTACTGCCGTGCCTGGCACATTCTGACCTCCATCTTTCAAGATTTCGCATTCCTCTTCCCATTCAACCATTCATCATGGACGTCTCCCACGTCTTGGACGCCTACAAGGAGCAGAAGTGAGCCCCTCTCATGCGTGCTAAGGGCCCAGCTCATACTTGACAGCTCCACCAACGTGCTTGCCCGCACAAACCCCGTGGCGACAGACCCCGCCCTCCTCGCCGCCTTCGACTTTTCTCCCGTCGACCCCGCCTCCTACACTGACCTCGAACCCCACCTCCTCGAGCTCACCCTAACCTCCACCCAATCCCTCGTCTCCTCCCTCTTCACCCTCCCCACCCACCCCTCCGCCCTCGGCTCCATCACCAAATTCCCCTTGCCGACGACGCTGCTCCCGAGGGAGAAGCCGTTGCCAAAGCCCAAGCCGGAGACGAAGTGGGAGAGGTTTGCGAAAGCGAAGGGGATTAGTCATAAGAATAGGGAGAAGGATGTGTTTGATGAGGAGAGGCAGGAGTGGGTCGGGAGGTGGGGGAGGAACGGGAAGAATAGGGAGAAGGAGGAGCAGTGGTTGCATGAGGTCAAGGCTGGTGCCGGTAAGTCCCCCCCTCCTCCTCTCACTTGGGGTTAGCTGACGGAAGTGGCAGATGCGGACCAAGATCCCGCAAAGACTGCGCGAGACGAGCGCAAAGCCCGAGTCAACAAGAACCTCAAACAACAACAAGCCAACATTGCCGCCGCGGCCAAAAAATCCGCTCCCATCGTCAACCTCTCTGCCCCCACCCCGGGCACCGACGCCAACTCTGCGCCCCTCCTCAGCCAAGCTCAAAAGAAGTCTGCCCGAGAAGTGCGCAAGAGCGAGCTCATCCGTTCGATGCTTATCAGCAAGACTTCCACGGCGTCGATGGGCAAGTTTGATGACAAGATTGAGGGGGAGCCGAAAGCGAGGGGGATGAAGAGAAAGTTTGAGCCGACGGTGGGGAAGAGCTTTGAGGGGGAGAAGACCTCGGCGATGGATGTGTTGAAGAGGGTTGAGAGGGGGGAGGGGAAGAAGGCTAGGAAGGGTGGGGAGGGGGTCGAGGGTGGGTTGAATGCGAGAAAGGCGATGAGGTTTAGTGGGGAGGGAGGCAAGATGAAGCCCAAGACTACTGGCAAGAAGGGCAAGAGAAAGTAGTGGTGGTCGCTTTTGTGTCTACATTTGGCTCTCATGTATTATTGTACTTCTCTTTGCAAGTGTCTTGAGCGTGAGCCTGGCGATGTTTGGGTATGCGACATGCGACGTATTGTGCTACACAGTTTGCATCTACAGTATAACACCGCACATACAAGTAAGGTCAGAAAACACCGAGTGGAAAGTGAAATCACCCCTTCGCGTCGCATTTATACTTTCTGTCCGCTGCTTTCTCGCCGATCCGAGCTGATTGTAAAGAGTTTGAGCGCAAACAAACATCATAGTGGGCTTTCTCCTCCAGCGCACGTCGCCTACTGTCGCTGGAGAGTCGGGTCAAGGAATGCAGGTCTACTTTCCTTCTGCAAAGAGGGTGACGAGGCCTGCGGCTGCGGATCACTTTAGCTACGTGACAATCCGGCATCAGGCATACGGATATGGGTACATACATTCGAAGAAGTACAGTTCCTTGTAATTGCAGACGCGTCAAAGACGGCGAGAGAGGAGGAGTGGGAGTGCAGGATGCTTATGGACTTGTCGATTGCGGATGAGGGTTGTAAGGGATTGGTACAGATGTTGTGACGTGTACTTTGGACGCAGGGTTCGGTGACTAGGGTTGCTGCTATGGTCTCAGGGATGCGTAGGCTGGATTGCGAGATGAGGTTCCCATATATACATCGTGCCGCGTCTCCGTATCCTTTTCCCTCATCGATGTATTCTCGTAAGAACCTCCTCACCTATATCCATCCTTCTCCCTCCAGTCTATTCAAGGTCGACATCCAACACCCATAGTTGGATCCACCACGTAACCGCCCTTAGGTTACGCCTCACCTATCCTACCCTTACAAGGGTGTGGAGACACCTGCGTAGGACGCTGTACACGTACTTTTGCAAAAGGCCTTGTACCGATGCAAAAGTCAAAGTCGACGAGCACATGACCACTATCCCTTGCCGAGCTTGTCTGGTGCCGTATCCTGCTCTTCTGCAGTTGAAAATCTGTCGGAAAGAGACCAATGAAGCCATCATCGCTACAGCACGGCGGAAACCGCTCTACGGAAGTCCGTCGCGCGGGGTGGTAGAGTGGGCATTGATGGCTAGGCGAGATGGCACTTTCTCCCGGAAGGCAATGGAGTCCAAGAGGAAGGATAACTGGTGTCGATGTCGTGCAAGGGCAGGTAGAGGCGGTCGCGTGGTGAGGGATGTGGTAGCGGCAGCGGGTATTGAGCTTCTTCTGATGCGCTTTGGATGATGAGGGGAGGTGGGTGCAGCCTCTGGCGAGGGGAATGATGCGAGTAGAATGTAAGAGTAGAGAAGAAGTAAAGACGAAGGGAGGAAGGAGAAGGAAAGAGACGATGATCGCTGCGAACCAGCCACGTGTCTGGGGGCTGTCACGGGCATCACTCAACGTCATGCAGTATCTCGCTGATTCATCTTCCTATATGCTCATAGCGTGTAAGGCCTTCTCCAATTCAGTCCCCTCTTCTATCTTAGCTTCCTTCATGTCTTCTTCGTACAAGTAGTGGACTGGCTCCTCGACTCCCAGCAAAAGCCAGTCTAGAGCCTCCTTCGTCTCCTCCTCTTCTTCTATTAGGTCTTCGTCCTCAGCTTCTTCGATCTCTCTCGCTTGCCTGATCAACATCTCCTCGATCTCCTTTCTTTCAGCCCAAATTATACCTTGTGCGTCACCGTACTTCACCAGCTTGTCATAAGGGTTGAAAGAAAGATAGTCTAGCCAGTTCCAGCGGATTGAGGAAAATGGTTCATTGGTGGCGCCGCCCTGGAACCAGCCAAGAGGAATATCATCCCATGGTATGGACTGCACATTCGATCAGCATGTTTTACGAATGATGAAGGCTGATATACATCATGCGTAATCTCCACAGTTTCCACAATGTAAGATTTCGGAATGCTCTTGTAGAACAACTTTTCGGAAAACTTCCTCATGAAGTTTCTGGCACGAATATTCTCCAAGGAGAAAAAATCAAACCCCACGGTATGGGAGCGGAATTTTTCTTCCTCTTCTCTTGGATCCACAACTAATACCTTCTCATCTTTACCAGGCATACTGCTGATGATAGATAAGAACACTCGCGACTGGCGTCCTTGCCCCAGTCTGTTGGCTGCCATGAAAAGAGCATAGAGGGGATCGGTGGAAACGGATATCCAATCAGAAGGGTGGGGGTCGGCTTTCCACCACCCCCTCCATCCTCCGAGGACATGTCGGTACATGCTAGGAACCAAAGTCGTTATCGCGCCACCATCGAGACGCTGTTGGCGAGAGTTGTGCAAAGAGGCTTTCCTCCCGGCGTCCTTGCCTCGAGTGCTCTGGACAGAGATAGATGAAAAGCCCAGATGGGGGTGGAGGCCGGATATGGTATTGCTGTCGAAATGACGGACGGCGAGCTCACCATCTTTGCACCCTTTCATGATGGCGGAAAGGGACATGGATGATGTTCGTTTGGTGTCCGAAGAAGGAGGGAAGGGAGGAATATTGTCGAGAAGCGAGTCGTCGGAACCCATGTTTGGTCAGTCGAAGAAGCAGTTCGTTGTCAAAATAAGAGCGGAATCGGGTAAAGACAGAGCCAGCGGGTGTTATTTTCTCTACAAGATGTCTTTCCGCCCTTCAGGGTCGTAGGTGGAGTACGTACAAGAGGGAGCTTACGCTTGACTAAGGGCGCGGCTGTCTAGAGGATCAGGCGAAATGCATTGCAAGATCACGATCATCACATTGCATGACTTAACTATGGGATACACGTCGACAGCTAATACTTCTGGAGGCACTTCAGAGAGGAAGCGGCTTTTTCTTGAGTGACTTTGCAGCTCGAGCAGCATGTAAGGGATTGGTACAGATGCTGTGACGTGTACTATGGAACGCAGGGTTCGGTGACTAGGGTTGCCGCCCGGCTCGACACCTGACTCGACACAAGCCCTTCCCGCGGTGTGGCATCAGGATATGGATACATTCGAAAAAGTACAGTAGAGTATCTTGTAACTGCAGACGCGTCAAAGAGGGCGAGAGAGGAAGAGTGGCAGGATGCTTACGGACTTGGCGATTGCGACGAGGGCGGATGAGGGTGTGGTGACACCTGCGTAGAACGCTGTACATGTACTTTTGCAAAGGCCTTGTACCGATGCATAAGTCGACGAGCATATGACACCAGGACCGCTGCTACCCATCTTCTCCAGGCCTCCTCTATTCCTCGTCGCTCTCGTCACTCCAGCCCCCCTTGAGCATATAGTTCGGATCCGCTCGCAATGTGTCAAAAGAAACCTCTCTAAGAAGCTTCCCGGCCCATACTTCCAATTTTTCATTGTGGAAATCGATAAAGTATTCCCATTCACAAAAGATGCTTTCCCCCATGAAGGAGACTATCAGGCTACAAGTCAGCACGATAATAAACAGCGGGGACAGTCAACGCACTGGAGTCAATCAGATGGTTGAGCTTTCCTTCTTGAATGAATGGCAGCGCCCTTGCTCCCTGTGCCCCCACCAACACATCGGACCAAGTGTCCATTGACCCGTACATCGCAAACGGACCGTCGTCGTCACCCAAGCTGGCTCTCATCGCCAACGACTTTGCGGCCTGCTTCTTCCTCTCTTCAATCTTTTTCCTCTTGGCGTCTTCGGAGAGACCTTCGTGCTGTCGTGGGTGGAACCAGTGCTCAGGACCGCCGTAAGGAAAATCGTACTTCCAGATACCGTCGTAAGCCAGGTAGCGCTTCTTGATGTCCTCGGGGATGATCGCATTCTCATCTTCAATCCACTATCAGACGCGTCAGAGCAGTACCAAAAGCGCTGTATTATACTTGCCTCGATCTTTTCCACGCGCTCGGCCATCTCTTTGCTCTGCTCGGGAGAAAGGCGGGAGATGAACTGGGCAATGTCGTGGCCTTGGCCCTCGGGATAGGAGTCCCAGTGGTTGTACATGGCCTTGCGCTGTTTGTTGCGGAGGATGTAGCCGATAAGACCGCGGGTGCCCATGGTGCTGGCGATGAATGGGTGAAGGGTTTGAGTCGAAGCTTGGTGGGGCAGAAGAAGGAACGCAAATGGAGGATTAAAAGTGTGACTTCTTCCCGCATTACCATGCGTACGTATTTCGTCGTGGCGTGGCGGGTTGCTCAGGCTGACGTATCGTATCTCTATGGTTTGAGTACACTGGGGTAAGGCGTGCATGCTAATCAATATTGTGCTACATATACTGCAGAGAGCAATGTGCGCAAATCTATGAAGCTTAGTGGGGATGGAGGCGAAGACTACTGGCAAGAAGGGCAAGAGAAAGTAGTGGTGGGAGCTTTTGTGCTTTGGTGTCAAAGTTGGCTCGCATGTATTATTGTACCTTTGCTTTACAAGTGTCTTGAGCGTGAGCCTGTCTCCGTTCATGCGACCTATTATGCTACACATTTTGCATCTATGAACACATACAAAACTACCTTCGCGAATGCCTCTCTTAACTTCTTTCCTTCTAAATGTACAATAACTCCCCATATGTCTCCCGACACGTTAAACCAACAAAGGCTCGCCCTCATCCGAAAAGTAGACGGGCTGGCCGGATCTGAACGAATGCGTGAGGGCTGTGGCGATTTTGGCGGCTTCGAGCGCGTCGAGAGAGTTGACGGGGAGGGCTGGGTGAGGTTATCGTCAGCCGACATCTTTCACGAGATGACAGAAAGGGGAGGGGCGCTAGGAGGGGTGCGAGGAGAGAAGAGGATGAGAGGAGGCTTACGTTTGTTGTCCAAAACGGCGTCGGTGAATTCGTTGACTTCGAGGACGAAGGCGTCTTTGAATCGCTCGTAGTATGTGGGACTGATATGCATTAGTTGGTATCTTACGAGAGGGGGAGGATGAGGAAGGGGGACGTACGTGGACTCGGATCGGACACCGTGGACATCTCGGATCTCCACTCTGTTAAGCTGCGGGTTCTACGATATCATCAGCACGCGAGAGGAAGAAGAGGAAGAAGAATAAGACATACCCCGTTGATAATAACCTTCCCATCCGTCCCAAAGACCTCCGCAAAACAATCATGCCCATGCATCGCCGTCCTACTCAAATGCAACATCAAGATCCCACCATTCTCAAACTCTACAAATCCCACAGCATTGTCGACGTCGTTGTCTTTGACGAGCTCGGGGTGGCGGATGTTGTGGCCGGAGGCGAAGACGCGGGTGACTTGTTTGAGGGGGTTGGGGATGGAGGAGGTGGAGAGGAGCCAGCGGGCGCAGTCGATGTCGTATGCCGCAGTCAATGTAGATGCCGCCTGAGGCGCCGGCGTAGGATACGAAGAAGCCTGTGAGGGTGTTAGTTCAAAATTGTGCGATGGAGGGGAGGGAGGGGAGAAGTACCGGAGGGGTCGTATTGGTCGTTGGTGGCAGACTTGATGAGGTGGGGCTTGCCGAGTTTGCCAGTGTTGATCATCTTGTAAGCCTCCCGGTACGACTCGTCGACTGTATCCAAGTCAGTAAGGCAGAAAGCGTAAGAGGGTGCGCACATCGTCGACTGAAGCCGACCATGACCTTGAGGTCGGGGAACTTTTTGGTCTCTTCCACCACATCTCGTGAAGTCTGCAAGTCGATAGAGATGGGTTTCTCTACCAGCACATGCTATCATACCATCAGTATCATGTCTAGCAGTGGAAAAGAAGAGACCACCTTGCCGGCGTGCAGCGCCGCAATAGTCATCGGCGCATGCAACTTGGTCTCACTCGCGATCAACACCGCATCCGCCCCGCTCTCCGCCAGACACTGCTCAAAGTCTGTATACAGCCCCACAGAGGTGGAGAGGGAGTCGGTGGCCCAGTGGAGGGAGGCGGGCTTGGGGTCGGCGATGGCGACGAGCTCTGCGCGGGGGGTGCGGTGGGCGAGGTTGAGGGCGTGGCGCTGGCCCATGCGGCCGACGCCGAGGACGGCGTACTTGAGCTTCTGGGAGAGGGCCATGCTGGGTGTAGTGAATGCATGTGAAGGGGCGTGCCGTATATATCTTGGACACCATGCCACGGTCCGATACACCGGAGTTACGTAAATGACGAGAAGCCGAACGTTGAGTGATGACTGGCTCGACACAAGCCCACTCCTCCGGCCGACGCGCGAAGCTTGCGTCGAGCCAGGAGTGATGATGGGTTCACCATGATACCCAGTCACCCCAAGATCTAGCCATGTTCATATGTACAACTATACATGAGCATCCTATCCTACTTTATCTAATCGTCATCGCTATCGCTATCACTGTCACTATCATCACCATCCTCCTCCCCGTCCTCTACCTTCTTTCCATCCCCTGACTTTCCCCCCTTCGTCTTCTCCCCCTCCTCAACAACCAGCTCTCCCTCCCTAAACTCCTTCTCAAGCTCCTCCTTACTCCCTCCCTTATACGCACAATCCGTCGCGAAATCGACTTCTCCGATCAAGGTCTTCATCGCCGCTACGAAAGTGTCGAGCGGGCATAGGCCGTCGTCGTCTTGGGGACAGCCGGAGACGCCGGTGAGAGGGACTGGAGCGTCGTTGAGGATGATGCGGATGTTTTTGGAAGAAGATGACGAGGAGGTAGAGGAGGAGGAAGAGGAGGAGGAAGAGGAGGAGGAAGAGGAGGAGCAGGAGAGGACTTGGATTTGGAGGTTGGTAGCGAAAGGCATGATCCTAGATGTCGTTAGCTCGAAGGCTCGGAAGTGTAGAGACAGACGGGTTCACTTTGAAGACACGAATGAGCGATGTTTCGGGATCCTATCCGTGGGCAGATTTCCGCTCTCTGCAAACGTCGTCAGGTTCATCATCGGAAGCACTAAAGAAAGATCGTCAGCAATGGAATTCAGACGAGCGGGCGAGAAGAGAAGAAGCTTACGGAGGGCGAATTGAGTGTCGTGAGTAAAGTCGACAAAGCTGTCAAGGTAGAGTAAGTTCTGGCCATAGCAACGCAGGAGGTATACGTACAGAGGGTCATCGAGGGGGAAATGAACATCATCATGCAGACTCGAATTGGTGGTAGAGTTAAACTCTGTCAACCTCGCTACCCCCACTCATCAGTCCTAGCACACATCCTCAAGAAAAAAGACTCACTCTTCGTCAACCTCGACACGAGCTCCTGAACCCAGCCTACGGCCATCGCTCGCGCAGGTTTGTACCCGAAAGAAGAGCCGTACCACCAGAAGAGGTCGTTGCGGTATTGGAAGTTTTTCCATTCTTGTTGGGTAAAGAGGTTGCAGAACGCGGATTGGCCGAGGGCGACAGTCTACTACTGGTTAGCTTGGAGCTCGGAAAGGAGGGAGGGGGTAGGGCTTACTTCGTATGCGCACATCTCCATCTATACCAAAGTCAGTAATGCGCGCAGGGAGAGGAGGAGACGTACCATCTCGTTCACATCCGTCAACGTAAGAGCCAGACCCTCCATATTCTCCTGCAACCTATCCCGCGTCTCGGGCAGGGATACTGCATCCCATTCGGCGAGCTTCTTGACAAAGTCGTAGTTCGGGCGGCACTATGTGAGTGTCAGTAGTTGGTCGAGCGAGGGAGAGAAGGATGGACGTACGGTGGAATAAGGTGCGAGGGTGTTGTTGAAGCCGGGCGATTCGATGGTGACTTCGAGGTTGTACTGCTCTTCTGATGGGTATCCGAAGAATCCTGAAAGTAAAGTATCAGCACGAGTGCAGAATGAGGTGTCAGAAGACGAACCGGTAGCGAAGTTTTGAGCAGAACGCAACATGCGGCTGTGCAGAATGAGCGCGACCAAACGTAGCACATACTGATACTCACTCTTGACTTTCCGTACGAAATACTGGCAGTCGCCCGTTAAATTTGTCGAGCAAAAAGCCGTACTTGACACGCGCCGCAACACCAAGGTTGACTAAACACCCATCAGATGCTTGTCCGCGCAACAAGAAAGGTACTCACAGAGCTGGCTTCTGCCGAAGGGAGTAAGGATCTCGGCGCCGAGCTTGTAGCTCCAGTTGTTGAGGAAGGCGAGGTCGCCTTTGGCGGTCCAGTCGGTGGCTGTCTTGAGCCGAGAAGCGAGCGCGGCGGGTCCGTAGGGGTTTGACGTCGGGTATCTAGGAGCCGCGTAAGCTTTGACGTGTCGCGAGGAAGGAGGAGAGCATACCTAGCGCCATGCCTTTGCAACCAATGCAAACTCTTTAGCTCACAAGTCTCCGGTATCAAGCTATTCGAATCCGGCAAGCCGTGGCTGTCGACAGAGTAGTATGGACTCAGATTGCCCCAGTGTTGTATGACGCTGAAGCCTTTGGAGACGTTTTCTGTGGGACGGAGGAGGGGGTGGACATCGGTATGGGTGGGAAAGACGGGGGCGGTGGCGATGAGGGCGGCTCTGGGGGAGGCGTCAGCGTTGGGACACGATGTGGGGTCATGGCGCGACTTGCTCGCTGCCTGTGGGAGTAGGGCCGGCGTAGCCAACACTATAAGGCATGTCAGCTTGCAAGATGCACAGGAGGGGCATGTGACGTACTTGGTGGGGAAATTGGAGTGGTCGGCGACAGATTTGAGAGGAGCGACGCCATCTAGCCACTCCTGCACCTCTTTCGGCAGACTCTCCCATGTCCTCACTCTATCCAGCGTCGTCTGGCCGAAATAGCATGTCACAAAAGCAAGCGAAGGGAGGAGTATCGCGAGGGATATGCAGAGACATCGAAACACGGAGCGTGCTCGGAGAGACTGCTTTTGTAGCTGGAGTTGCTGGTGGGGAGAGGGGAAGGTGCGGCGTTCGTAGGAGGGGAGGAGGGGGTCGTCGACGTTGGAGGCGGGTTGTAGTTCGTAGTCGTCTGTGGGCAATGTGCCGCCAGAGGAGGGGGGGAGCTTGGGCATGGCTTTGTGGTGAAGAAAGAGAAAGCCAGAAAGAGCGCGACTTGAAGATGGCGATCTTGGCTCGTGCCTGGTCGTCTGTCGGAGGCCCGTTTGGTTCCGCACGAGTATGGAAGCGGTCAGCTCTCTGCACGCTTGCAGACACGGATACTTTGCCGATACAAGAAGAACCAGCACATGCATAATCGTACATAACCCAGACTACAATCCAAACGTGAATCTCGACCAATTCGCTCATCTCTTCAATGTTCGTCAAACCCGACCGGAAAGCAATAAGAAAAAGTCGCCGACCACCAAAAGGTATACAAGAGTAGCTTGGGGCCCTATTGCATGCTGGTCTCCGTACCGTTGTTGCCGGCGGGAAGATCCTCCTCATCAGGGTATCTTGGACGAGTCGATTCGATATCATCTTAACACCCGTCAGCGTTGATCGCCTAGAAGAAAAAGAGAGCGTACCAAGGAAACTCAGGTACGCCCACTCAACCGCCTCTGCCGCCCAATAGAAATCACAATGCTCGCTCTTATCCAGCTTTGTCACTTTGATCACCTTGACATCCTTCTCCTTCTCTTCCAAGCGCTCCAGCAAAGGATCGGCAAAGACGAGGAAATCGCGCCCGCCGTGGTAGATTGATAGGGGAGGGAAACGGTCATCGAACCAGCGGGGGAGAGAGTCGTCGAGGGTGCATTTGCGGTCGGCGAAGCCGCCTTTGCCGCACCACCAGAAGATGGAGGCGGAGGAGACGGGGGTGGGGGTGAAGCGGAACATTTTGGTCTTTCGACGGTGCAGCCTAGGTAGATATCAGTATACGGACGAGCGGAGAAGGGCAAGAGACTCACCAGTTCGTATCCGTCCATCTAAACAAGAACGCAAACATGATATACCCCAGCGTCGCAAACAACTTGGCCGGCGCATAATCATACGCCCACCGCATCAACGGTATAAAGTCCAGCACGCCAAAGAATCGTTTCCACTTTGGCCATTCGACCTTGTTGAGGACGGTGAAGGGGAAGCCGGTGGTGAGGGAACCGGCGTAAACGGCGGGGGCGAGGGCGATGAAGACGGAGAGTTTGTTGCCGAGGGAAGGACACATGCCGAGGGAGAGGGAGATGAAGGCAAGGCCGTTGCCTTGGGAGTGGCCGATAAACCCGATCTGCGATGACGGTTAGCGTTGACTCGTGAGAGCAGAGGACAGGAGATATGAAAAGGGGGGGAGAGGGTAACGTACCTTGTCGTACCCAGTCTCTCGACAAACGTGCTCGACGAGCGCCGGAAGATCGTACATCGCCAGCTCTCGAATAGTCCAATCTGCATCTCCATCAGCTCTTCACTCCGAAGACAGAGAAAGAGACATACCCCAGAATCTCGGATCATTCCTCGAAAAGTTCCTATGCCCCATATCAAACACCCCTCTCGTGTTTCCAAGATACACCTGATACTTTCCCTCCCTTGCGAGCCAGAAAGCGAGCGAACGGTCTTCGGAGGTGACGAATGAGCCGGAGGATTGGAAGAGGCCGTGGAGGACGAGGACGGGGAAACCACCTCGGCCGTCAGAGTGGGTTTGGGCGTCGGGGTCGATGACTCGGTGCATTCTGAGAAACGTCAGTTGTGAAACGGATAGAGCAGGGGAGGACTTACTTGAGAAAGTATCCGTCCTCCGTCTCGACCGTCTGATGCTCAATATCCATGCCCACCTGCCTCGCGTAGAACGCCGGATCCTTGCTAACCGTCTTCTCCTTCTTCCAATACTCTTCGTCGTCCCATGGAAACTTCATCGGTCTATCCGGCCACACCCACTTTGGCAGCGCCTTGCATACCTCCGCCGTCATTGCCCAGGCCACAACAGCGGCGAGGAAGAAGGTGGAGAGGACGATGGAGACTGATTGGATGAAGATGAGATTGAGCTTGGCGCCGATGGTGAGGGGGGCGGGGGAGATGGGAGAGTAGGTGGAGAGGGAGGGAGGGGGGAAGGTGGGGGCTGTGAGGTGGTGAGAAGGGGTGTTGGAGCGGTCGATGAATATGCGGCGGAGGATACCCCGGTTGGATCCTGTCGAAGACGCTCGAGACAGGGAAGGGCTGGCACCTCCGGGATAGACGGGCTGGGGAGCCAAGAGAGGGGCAGACTCGCCCTTTCGCCCAGCAGTATCCTCATCCACCTCGTACTCTGGCGTGTTCAGGTCGGACCCCCGTACCGCCCTCGCTTGGGCCTGGGCGGTTTGCTGGTTGGGAAGGCTCATGGCCGCTCGAGCAGGCGCGTCGAGCAGTGTCGAGGGGGGGCTTCGCACGAATACAGGAGGGGGGTCGGGAGATGGTTGGGAGTGGACGAGTCGGGTGGGGTGTGGGTTGAAAGATGTGTTTTGGGCGGAAGGTATAGAAGTGTCGAGTGGTTTTTCGCCGAGATATCTTTCGGGGACGAGATTCGCGTCGCCAGAAAGTGGAGCGCCCCGCGTGGGAGTGAGGGGGGATTGGGGTTTTGAGATGGGGCTGGGGGCGATGATGGCGGCGGTGGCGTTGATGAGGGCGAGGGGGGAGGGCAAAGAGGGGATGAAGGATGTCATCTGCGACGAGAAGAAAGGGATCAGCGATGTCGTACTACTGCGGTGCTGGCCGTGCCAAGTCGAGGCCGTAAACAACGTACCTCGGCGCGTCAACTTCTTCGAGAGAGGAGAACTGTTGGATGGAAAGGGATTGCGCAGGTGGATGGAGGGATGAGGGGTGGTGGGGCGAGGTCAAGGAGCTGATGGTGGAACAATGACCAGGAGCGATCTCGTGATGGAGGATTTTCCCACGCTTTCAAGTGTGTATAGACAGGGGAATCGGACACAACGGCGAGAGGTAGAAGGCTGGCGAAGGTGGACGGAGGTGGAGGAGCGGCGAAGCGAGGGAGAGAGAGGGCCTGTCGAAGGTAAAGCAGTTTGGGAGATGGACGAACGAGTGAGAGAACAGCTAAGATCACAACTGGAAGATCTCGTCCGATCTGATCTGTTCCAGGCAGAATGACGTTCAGCTCTCGTTCGTCCTCTTTCTCTCATGACACCCCATGCACGAATGCAGCATACAGCTCGCTGACATGCCCTAGCAGATGCTCCCCTCTGCCCCCTCATATGCATAGCCTCGCAGACTCGCAGACTGCACAACATCAACAGTGATATGGCGTGCCTGTGACGGCATCGCCAAAGATAAGCCTCCACAATCCATCTCTCCTCTTTCCACGTTCTTCATCCACCATGACTGCACCCGGCTCATATCCCACCCGCTCCAAACAGCCGTCACTCACACCGGCCCTCGACGATGCATGGGTCTCGGAAAACGAATCAGAGCTCTCGGTACCGGTCAGCACTCCTTCAAGACCAAGAACTCCTCGGCGGAGGGCTGTCAAGTCGACTCCTACTCGCCAACAGCCTATTCAGACGAGATCGCCCGTCAAGAAGGGGTCTATGTCGAGCAATGTTGTCAGACCGAGGAACAAATTGGACGACGTGCAGCGACCTCGCTCTCCCACAATCCCCTCGCCAAGTTCCCCCCCTATTCAAACGCCACCCGCCCCAGACCTTTTATCATCCCTCCCCTCTCTCGAATCAACACTACGCTACGTATTCGCGCCAATACGCATCCTCATGGTACCAATCAACATGGCAGCCTCGCCCTTTATTGCACATTTCGTCAATGCCCTCATCCTCGCGGCCTTGGCGTGGACGGCGTGGGTGTTGGTCGTGCCCCTCTTGCCGGGGCTTTTGTGGAGGCTTTTGAGGGGTGTGATGGGGGGTGTGATGGGATTGGGGAGCGATGGAGAGCTGGGGATATCAGGAGAGCTTGTCAGGCTACCTTTGGCGACGCTAGCTACTCCGACATGCGCCCTCACCGGTCTATTCTGCCGTCATTCACTCTTCACTATTTCATCCCCCCACTCCTCGTCCTCTACCGACTCTCAGTCATCTCGCCAGCTATCCACACAACAAGCTCGACCATTCTGGCTATGGTTCTCTTCGACAACACCGAAAGATGAGGTTGATGTAGGGGAAGCAGCGAGGGTGTTGACAAAAGAGGTACAGAGGGCGAGAGATATCTTTGATAGCGTGAGACTGGTGGGGGAAGAGAGCGTGGCGCCTATGGAGTATGTAAAGTGAGTATAATTCTCTCCCTTGTGTGTGTCGAGACTGATTGGAGTAGAGTATGGGAGCTAGGCTCGGCGTTGATGGTGCGAGGGAGAGTAGATGCGCAGAGTCACAAACTAGGGACTATGGTCATTGAAGTCTGCCTCTCCTCTTTCTGTGGTGGTCAAAACTGACTTATATGATAGCTCGGAGATGATTGCCGAGATCTGGTAGATGAAATCAGTTACATCGACTCGAAAAGTGTCAACGACTTTGGATGGATTCAGTGGGAGGTACGTCTTTCCCCCCTCCTTCGGTCAACTCCATCTTGCCCCCATACATCTTGCTTGATCCTACCAATAACCTCTCCTTTTCAAGATCAATCTCTGCATATCTGTGCTGATCCATCACCTAGTTTGAACGACTTGTCCACCTCCTCTCCTCACCAACTGTATCCCCCTCTCCCACCGTACTCGGCGCCAAAGTCCACTCTCTCCTCCTCTCCCTATCTTCCACCCTCGACGACCTCCACTCCCTCACATCCAAAGCCGCCCAACACGCCAACATCGCTTCCACAAAAGGAAGAAAGATTGGGACGGAGATGAAGACGATCGAGGGGGCTTTGAGAGTTGAGGAAGGGCGGGAACCGGGGTGGAAGAGGTATAAGGATAAGGGGCAAAAGTTCTTTCTTGGGGGCGAGCCGACTAGGGGGGAGATACTCGCGAGGGATATCAGTCTCACGACGCAGACGATTGTGACAACGGAGAATCTTGTGAGAAACTTGGAAGCGACGAGGTCGGTGATCAGGTCGTTTAGGGATCAGATTGGGATGTTTGATGCGTCAATGATGGGCTTTC